TGTAGGTTTTTTTTCCAGGTTAATGGGTTTTTGTTTATTTTTCCCTACTACTATGAAGTTGGCAGAAAATAAGTGGGAACTAGAGACTTCCTCCCAAATGTTGCAATGGTGGTCTTGGTTTTGTCCTTATGTATGTTAGTTTGGAAACTAACAGAGAAGCAAAAGAAAACAACTCCTAGTTTTCATGGCCACACTTCTCCCTTTTTCCCCCCTTTTCCCTGGCAGCTATTCTGTCAAAGAAGCCCTCCATTACCCTAGGATCTTCTGCCAGCGTTGTTTCATGGGTGAAGTTAACCGCACTTCAATACAAAGTCAAGCTCTGTTAGCCTAAAACTGTGACAGCCCAGCTCTAGGCCTCTTCCTAATATGGGCACCCTTCCTACCCAAGGGCCTCGATTCCCCTTCTAGAGAAGAGGATAAGACAGAAAAGGGGACTTCTCTGGCCATTCTTTTCTTTATGGTACTGTGTTAAGTAGCTGAAGGTCTTTCTTCCCTAGCTCCTGGTGGTAGCTTCCCTCTTGGTGGTGTCCTACCAATCTGTCTGAAACTTCTCTACCTGCTCTCACTTCATGGGCCTTCTCTTAACAGTTGTTTCCAATTAGCTGCTTACAACTCCAAGGAAGAGGTTTGCTGTTATTAACCCTTTTTGTGTTGCTTCTGCAGAACTTGTCTTTTCCTTTGTCTTGCCCTATAGGCTGCCCACATTGTTGGTTGGTTGTAACAGCTGCCAGAGACAGCTTTGCGTAGTTGGGCTAGATGTTTAACTTCCTAAATGTTTGTTCCAGTGCTAAGGTAATGTAAAATCAGAAAAGTGTTGTGTTGAGTACAACCTTGGGGTTTTTTCCCCCCTCCTCAAGATTGCCCTCAGGAAAACTTAAAAGTGAGATTGGTAAATCAGTGTAAGTTGGCTCTGCTCCTTTCCCTGTGTTCGCACTGGCGTTCAACTGACTCAAAGCTAAACTAGCAGAAAATTAACACTATTTCCCCCCCCAACACACACACTCCACATGACAGTGGCAGTATTGAATTGTTTTGGAACTGCATTTTAAGGAGTGGCTGAAATACCCAGCCTTACTGTCATTGAAACATGATGAGTAAACAAATCAAGTCCCTGACTAAGACGAAAAAGGAATTTATTATTTGCCAGAGTCTGGCTTTCAGTCGGTATTTACTCAAATGGTGTCATTTCTCCTATCAATTAAAGAAATTGTTTGGGTTTTGTAAAGAGGGGAAGAATGGAAAAGAAAATATTCAACCAGCCTGAAGTACAAGTGTGTGTGAGCCACAATCCTTTGTGCTCCCTGACTGGGAGAGAATAGCATGAGGGTTGCTGGGAAAAATCAATCTCAAAGTTAATGAAATAAACTGGGATGATTCTCAAGGTGAGTCACCCGGGGTGAATGAGAAGGGAGTAGAAGTTGCCCTGTGGTTGTTCGGTTTATGATTAGGGAACAGGGGGGAAGTTGGAGTTCATGGTACTTAGCTGCTTAGTTATCCAACTCCATGCCCACTGGTCCAGTTGATTCAGACCTTTCATTCTGCTTGCATCTATTTCTATGAGAAATAGGGCTTGGGACTTTCTCACCAATACCTAAGTGCCTGATAGTGGTCACACATTTTACTCTTTTTACTAATAGGTAGTGATGGGTGATACTGTGATATTTATTACAAAAGGTGAAAGTGTTTTAAAAATAGTCAGTGCACTTTTAAGGAATGGGTAGATTTTCTTTCTTTGCTCATTAGCCTCCTTCCACCTACCCACCTCACAGCCAATCAAAGTACCATGGAATGGGAGTTGACCATAAGAGACCTCACCATTTCAGAGGCTTCAGGACAAGGTCATCCCTGAGGACAGTGGGAGAATTGGGTTTGATACTGCTTCGAGGCTTGTCTTACCATGCCAGTTCCAGGTGTAACTGGAAACTTTTAAGTGTGACAAAATGAAAAAAGGAGAGTTTAATTTTGATTATAAGTTCTTTTCTCAGGGAAGTATGGGTAAAATAAAGTACAGCAATGCACAAAACTGAGGATGTGGTCTATTTGATCTTCAGATGTATCTTTTAATCATACATTTGGTTATTACACTGTATCTTTAAGCCTGCTGTTCTCAAAAGATGACCTCTCTGAATAAACTCTTGCATGAAAATTTTCCCCAAATCCTTAAAATAGCCAAAAATGTTAGCCCCTATTAGAACATCTCCACTGTTACTTCACTGAAATAAAAATGCCCCTATGACTGATTGCTTCAGCCACTCATTTTCTACCTCAAAAAAACCTTTAAATTTCAAAAAGAAGTAACTTTCTCTGACTTCCGCTTTTCAGTTTGATACAGATTTAGGCTGTGAAATGTACAATAACTTTGCATGGTATACTTTAATATGTGAAACATTTTAATATACTGACAATGTTTATTTTCTGGATTGAAGTAATATGAGTGTTTCAAAATGGTATTGTCTGTAATGAAACATTTTAATTGGAAGTTGCTCTTGAGCAGAAAGGAATACACTGTATGTGAAAGGTGTAAAGAGGAAGACTGAGACTGCTTTTTTCAAAAAGATGGAGAACCTAATTTTGAGTCCGAGTATTCTGAATAAACTAGTTTTTGATTGGGTTTAAATGATTCATTTAATCTCTCTCATGGTTGGATTCAGATCCCATGACAATTCTGGTTCAAGGTTCTTTCTTCGCTTTTTAAATGAAGGAAAGGAATGGGAGATTTTTGTCACTAGTATTTTCATTTTTTTTAAAGATGCTTGGTGATTACAGATGTTTGTAAGGGAGGGTTTTTTTTAATTTCTTCCCTCTTTTTTCAGCAGTTAGGAATAGTAATATTCTAAGTATCTTTGCTCTGTTAAGAATCATCATAGAATGCTTTGGGTTGGAAGGGACCTGTAGAGGTCATCTAGCCAAACCCCCCCGCAGTGAGCAGGGACACCTTTAACTGGATCAGGTTGCTCAGAACCCTGTCCAACCCAGCCTTGAATGTTTCCAGGGATGGGACCTCCACCACCTCTCTAGGGAACCCATTCCAGTGTTTCACCACCCTCATTGTAAAGAATTTCTTCCATATATCCAGTCTAAACCTACCCTGTTTTAGTTTAAAACCATTACCCCTTGTCCTGTCACAGCAGGCCTTGCTAAAAAGATTGTTCCAGTCTTTCTTATAAGCCCTCTTTAAGGACTGAAAAGCCACAATAAGGTGTCCCTGGAGCCTTCTCTTCTGCAAGCTGAACAACCCCAACTCTCTCAGCCTTTCTTTCACAGGAGAGGTGTTCCGTCCCTCAGATAATTTTTGTGGCCTTCCTCTGGACCCGCTCTAACAGGTCCGTGTCCTTGTGTTCAGGGCTCCAGAGCTGGACATAATATTCCAGGTGAGGTCTCACCAGAGCAGAGTAGAGGGGCAGAATCGCCTCCCTCGACCTGATGGCCCTGCTTTTTCTGCAGCCTGGGATAGGGTTGGCCTTCTGGGCTGCCAGCACACATTGCTGGCTCATGTCCAGCTTTTCACCCACCATTACCACAGGTCCGTGTCCTTGTGTTCAGGGCTCCAGAGCTGGACATAATATTCCAGGTGAGGTCTCACCAGAGCAGAGTAGAGGGGCAGAATCGCCTCCCTCGACCTGATGGCCCTGCTTTTTCTGCAGCCTGGGATAGGGTTGGCCTTCTGGGCTGCCAGCACACATTGCTGGCTCATGTCCAGCTTTTCACCCACCATTACCCCTAAGTCCTCCTCTGCAGGGCTGCTCTCAATCCCTTCATCCTCCAGCCTGTACTGATACCAGGATTTGCCCCAACCCAGGTGCAGGACCTTGCACTTGGCCTTGTTGAACCTCATGAAGTTCACACAGGCCCACCTCTCCAGCCTATCCAGGTCTCTTTGGATGACATCCCATCCTTCTGGTGTGTCAACTGCACCACTAGGCTTGGTGTCATCTGCAAACTTGCTGAGGGTACACTCAACTTGCTGTCTGCGTCGTTGATGAAAATATTAAACAGCACTGGTCCCAGTATAGAACCCTGCGGGACACCACTTGTCATCAGTCTCCATTTGGACATCGAGCCATTGACCACTACCCTCTGGATGCAACCATCCAACCAATTTCTTATCCACTGACCAGTCCATCCATCGAATCCATATGTCCCAAACTTGGAGAGAAGGATGTGGCGGGGGACCATGTCAAAGGCTTTTAGAAGTCCAGATAGATGACATCTGTTGCTTCTCCCTTGTCCACTGATGCAGTCACTCCATCATAGAAAGCCATTAGGTTCGTCAGGCAGGACTTGCCCTTGGTGAAGCCATGCTGGCTGTCTCGAATCACCTCCCTGTCCTCCATGTGCTTTAGCATATTATCTAGGAGGATCTGTTCCATGATCTTCCCAGGCACAGAAGTGAGACTGGCAGGGCAGTAGTTCCCAGGGTCCTCCTTTCGACCCTTTTTAAAGATGGGCACAGTGTTTCTTTTCTTCCAGTCCCAAGGCACTTCACCTGACTGCTATAACTTTTCAAATATCATGGAGGGTGGCGTGACAACTGCATCAGCCAGTTCCCTCAGGACTCTGGGATGCATCTCGTCAGGTCCCATAGACTTATGTATGTTCAGGTTCCTCAGGTGGTCACGAACTTGATCTTCCTGTACAGTGGGAGGGGCAATGATAATAGTTTTTAGGTATTGCAATATAAATACTCAAATGTCTTGGTAACATAATCAAATTATTTTGTTATTCCCTATGTGTTGTTTATTTTTACCTTTAACATCATCCACGGAGAACAAACATTTGCTTTTATCAGTATTTGAGCAAATAGTGAGTCAGGGACATCAGTCTCTATGAATGTGTGTGTGGAGAGGTCTTCTCTGATAATTTGTTCTGAGACTCCTCTTTTCTCAGTTATGATCATGTTGTTTACATTTACTTTTTCTATTTCCTTGACCAAAAAAAAGAGACTTTGTTATTGTCTCTACATGTTAAATCTATCATTCAAATTTGTGTAGGTAGCTGCTGTGGCAATTTTCTTTTCACAGTTCAGTCACCTCTTTCTTGGGCTGAGAGAATGAAATCTAAAATGTTGAAGACTTCTGGAATTGGAGGAGGAGATGCTGAGCTTTGAGTCTTAAAATCATGCTGGTGTCATGTTTTGAAGCAGGTAAGAGTTTTACCAGAGGAGCCAGTAAAATTATCTTTCAAGAGCAGATGCAGTTTCCAAGAACTGGAGCAGCAAGTTGTTGTAGGCACATGGACTTCTATATTGGGGACCTTGTAGTTGTAAACAGTGCTTGGTAGGCTTTATATCAGTGACATAAGTTAGAGGAATAATAAAGAGGGTAGTTGAAGACTGTTTCTGTTAGCCATTATTAACTCACCTGTCCCCTTCCTAAAGTTTGCAGTTTAAACTGTCTTGCTATGTGAGAGTTATTTTCTTCTATACTCTATACTTATCTATATACTTCTATATATTTTCTCTACACCAAAGCTGAAAGGTCCACAGCAATTATTTTATTTGCATCTCTGGCCCTCTGTAGCTAATCTTCTCGCTTACAGAGAGTGCGCTTTTATGACTTGGACTTAGGGACCCCATTAATTTGGAGGCCGTTCTGTTTGCTGCTGATACTCACCTTTCCCAGGCCAACAATAATAGCCTTTAGACATTATGAAAAGCTTCAGATTACATCACCCTCAGTGGTTGTTTCTCAGGACCTTTCTCCTCTTGTCTTCATCTTTGGGAGTGCCCTACAAGGGAATCTACTGTGCTCTTTCTATACCTGTTTTTAACCTTTTCCTCCAGCCTGTAGTGACAGATCTGTTTCAAACTATATCTGTAGTTTGTTTTGTCTTGCTAATTGTAGTAAATGGGATTTCTATTATGATTGGAAAGTGGAATTTCTTGTGGTGGTTGCTCTTTAACAGATGAGAGAGTGGAGAGAAAAAAGGATGTAGGGTAATTGAAGTGTTGATTTCTGAATATATTTTTTGCTTACTGGTAGGATGTGCATGAAAAAACGACAGGAACAAGTAGCAAAAGAAACATGGTGCCAACTCTAGTGGTTTTTCAATGAGCTGTGTGATACTTGGTGTTCTTCAGGCTCCAGCTGCTGAAGTCAGAATTTGAATGTTCTTAAACCACAAGCCTCTGTCCTTCCAAGGCTGCAGAGCATAGCCTGCATGTATAAAAATTCAAGGTTAAAAATTTTGGGGGAGAATCTTTTTAAAAAACAACAAAATAAAAAACCCCCAAGAAACAAGTGTTTTCTAGGCTAGTCTTTTTTTGAGAACCAAAAAATTTTCAATGCTTCCATTTTTTTTCCTTTTTTTAAATCTTTGGAGTAGATAGACTCTGGGTAATGTGGAAATGAAAGTGGACGACAGTAGAGAAATGAGGGCAGCGCTGCAAGAGTAAGACAAGTTCCTTCCCTTCCAAGTCTTGCTGTCAGATAAAATTGTCAGAATGTGTAGAAAAGCATTACTGCCGGATGTGAAACTGAAAGTCTGTGCTGAGTTTACAACTGCTCAGGGAGTCCTAACCCTCTAGACTGGTTTTCTTCTTTTGCCTTCCATGCTGTCAGGCAGAGACTGTGTGGAGCCTAGTGTCTTCCCATATACCTAGAATTTTTCAAAACTTGGCATCTAACACTGAATCTGCTCCATTAAAGGGTATAACTGCTGCTTGTTTTGAATGAAACAAAGTGATAGAAAAAGAAACTATACTGATAAGAATTCCTTTCTTCCTCCTTTCACGTCTGAAGCTTTTCAGAAGAGCAAAGCTCATTTTTATGTAGTAGTGGCAATCTCTTTTGACAACTGTTTCTTTCTTTTAAAACTGGAATTGCAAACACTTCTAGTCAGCTTTGTGCTGATGATGACTATAATTGATGTAAAATTACACTTGTAAAACTATCCAACTGAAAATTTGGTATTCTGAAGGGTTGTCACAACTGAGTGATAAAAATATGGATCTGAGCAGAAGTGTCACCGTTGCATGTCTGGTGCCAAGCTTGAAACTGTTATTTTTATGAATTACCAGATACTTGTATGGCTCAGTTACGTTCTTGTTTCATGCTGTGGACAACAGATATTTTAATTTTTTTTTTTTCTTCCATGTTAGGGTAGAACCGTTCTGTGGATGTGTTAATGGAATATTTAGCTCTGGGGCTGACTTGATTTTAGTCTTTTTGCCGTAGTTCACTTGAAACTTCAGGGGTACTAGCCCAATTGCTATCAAAGGAGTAGTTTGTCTCAACTCTTCGGAGATTCATTGAAAGCTTGGAATCAAATATATATGAACTTGACTTCATATTAATTGCGTACTTCAAATTATATTTTAATCACAAAATGGTACAAGACCAAAAACTACAGAAGGAACCCAAAGTCAGCTAAGTGTTTGTTTATTTTTAAAGGCTCAAGCGTCTTTACATTTGTATGTGAAAGTGGTAGGCTTGATAAACCAACTTTTTATGGTTTTTGTAAGCAACACTGGTATGGTTAGACATTTGTTGATGATAGCAGTAGCAGTGGTCACTTTATTTATAACTAACAACATGCTATTTGGCTGTCAGCTCTAGAGTTCGGCAGTCATTCTGCTTGTTCATATTCTTTGAAATAATAGACTGCCAGTCTAACGGGCCCCTCCTATTAACAAGGGAAATATATCCCCAGTCTGTACTGTTCCCCTACACGTGGGCTTGTATTGACACTTCTTAGGTCCCTCTTCTAGCCAGCTATATTTACTAGAGAGTAATTCGGGCTCTCCCTCACCCACCAAAAAGTAACTTTCTGCTGCACTAGCAAATGGATTTGCCTCTTTGAAATGCCCAGGGAGCAGAAGAGCCAGAGAAAAGTTGCCATGGAGGAGGGAGGAGAGTAGACCTCTCCCCATAGGTGGCAGCAGCAGCCTGTTGAACTGGACTGAGATGGAGGTGTTGGGGGATAGAAAAATGAGGACAGGTATATGGTAAACAGGTGGAGAAAGTTCACTTAAGATAACTTGCTAGCTTTTAATAAAAGATGTCGTGTTAAAGGATTTCTTTCAGAACTGTCTGCGAAATTACGTGTGCAGAACACGTAACTTGAGGACTCTTGCCAAAGAGCTCTGACGTAGTATTTAGAAAGGAACCTCTCCGAGTGACAGCAAGCTGGTTTTGGTTGCTCAATTACCTGTTGTAGGATCTTCTGAGAAGGCAGATTAATTTATGTGCATCCATGTTACCATAATGATATGGTAAGACTTACATAAGGGGAAATACATGTTTTTAAATAATGAGTTTTACTTTTTGTGCATAAACAGGTAATACTTGTATTGGGTGATGTATTTGGGCACATAAAATCCATGACTCTTACCTGGTCTTATACAACTGCGATAAGGTGCTAGAGCAAGTACCTAAATAAAATTGTGTGTTCATGGGCTCCTACAGACTACAGTTTAATATAATGGTGAGTTTATCAGAATTTGCTCCGTAACAGAGTAGTGCGGTGAAACCTGGCCCCTGAAGAGGTGCATTCAGAGCAGATGGGAAACCAGGCTACTGTCTCAGGACTCCAGTGTGTTGTTTCCTTTACAGTATAGGCTACTGCAGAGTTACACTACAGGTTGATCAGTAATTTGAGATCATTTGGTCTAGGTCTGACAAATACACTGCTTATCATTATTTTGTGCCTCCTAATTGCTGAAGAAGTGCATACTTCAGCTCATATTTTTATCTGAATGGGTTAGGAATTGCACAACTCCTGGGAGGATAAGCTTCTATGGTGGGGTAAGTTGTGTTCAAGATGAAGGGTAATTCTGTCTTAACCTTAATTAAGCCTGTGTAATGTTTCACACTAATTCCTACTTGAGTTTAAAAAAAAAAAAAAAAAAGTCCTATGTCAACTGATTTTCAGGTATTATTGTTACTGGCTTGTTAAATTGTAATATCCATTGGAAGCTTAATAAAAGATCAAAGTACTAAACAAGACCTCTTGCTCATGTTCCATCTCTGAGAAGTGCCCTTTGCTGCTGCCCAGGGATGGCTGGAAAGAGTACAGTGTATTCTTGGCATTAATATTAGTTCAGAATAATTTATATAAGCCTCATTCTTTAATTACAGTATTCCTCCCTTGGACTTCTCAACTGTATGTTGAATTAAATCTGATGATCAACATCTGAAGTTAACAGGTGAAAAAGATTTATACCCTGATTCTCTTAAGTTGATAGCATTAAGATGTCTCAGGAATGCTTTGAGGCAAATACATAGAAGCTACAAAAGTTGGACGTAGCTGTCTGATATGTTTTCAGGTTAAACATTTGAAAAGATGCATTTGATTTATTAACTTTTCTGAGACGTGTACAGAAACTTGCCTACATGTGAAGCACGTATGTGCGACTAAGATATGAACTTAAATAATAGATTGTTCCCAAAATTAGGGTGTTTTTTTCTTTTAAGTGAAAGTAAAAGCATATACTCGCTTTCGGGTATTAACTGCAATCCTTTCAGAAACTGCTGTAACAAGGAGGAGGAAGAAGATTATGTGCCAGGGAATGCTGCTGCTTTTGAACATGGTTGAGACACAGGTGTGTGCTCCCTGTGTCTTGCACACCATGCGAATACGATACAAACCAGCTTCTGTCTGGAAGCCTTATCCACGAAGTGATCAACTTGAGCAGTTTTTATGCCACTAGCTCCTGTCCCCAGGAGTAGAAGGCATTTGTATCGGTAGAGCACAACCAGCAAGGCGTCATACCTTTTCGTGGCCTTCTAGACATGTTTATCTGATAGTTAGGCTGAAAAACTTGAGGAGTAAAGCAAATCACTAACAGAAGGGCTTGTTCTGTTGCTGCTGAAGGTTAAAAGCTTATCAGGGAGGCAGGGTGTAGTCCTTACATAAACAAGGTAGCTAGTACTGTGAGATAAGTTGTAATTTTTTGTAGTCATCTTGTTACTTTATCATAGCACAGAAAATGTGCTTATATATAAAGGTGCTGTAAGCAGATATTACTGTCCTAACTTACAGTTTTATTTTCCTCTCCTTTTCTGTTGCCTGGGATTTGTTAAGAGGACAAATGCAGTAACATCTTGCCCATTTGCCTGAAGGACAGAGATCCAATAGGTTTTTTGTGTGAACTAGTGAAAGAAACAGTAAATGACCAAATACACTTGTTCCTCACAAACAGGG